AAATAAATAAATAAAAGAGAGCCTCCATAGCTTAAGGTAAACAGCAAAGATAAGTTTTTCAAAAATGAAAACAAAAAGAAAAGTAAAACTAACGGTGACAGTGCTTGCATGTTTTTCCCCCCACAAGAATACCAACATGTTCACCTTCTCTGGTTTAAGAAGTGGTCTTTTACTTGACTTTCGCTTGAAAATCATCCATCATTTCCTCAATATGCGTGTCATTTTTGCTGTAGCTGAGTAGGTATACTCTCTAAGCGCTGTTTCGTTATGCTTTCAGTTTCGTTTGCCCTTTGATGTTTCTCATATGCAACAGAAATTGCAGCACTTATGAGACCGCACACAAAATTTAGTCACACAGGCAGAAAAAATGGTCGCAGTCTGGAGCCCTGCATATTAAAGTTCATAAGCAGCGCTGCTTTGTTTACAGCGGAAACCAAGGAAATGCTTTAAGTGCTACCTGCTGTTTCATGCAGATATTTTTTATGCATAGTTTCACAAAACTGAAGTCAAACCATTCTGTTTTTGCTTCAAATTTAGAAATTATACATTGTAATTTAGATTAAAAACTGCTCATGTTGCATGTATGCAGCATCTTTGTTTGGATCATGATTAAAATGCAGTGGTTGCCTCTAATTTTAAATGGAAAGAGCACAGACAAAGCCTGAGTTTGTTTATTTGAAGAGATTTATTTAATTTGTGTTACTTATTTATTTGATTTGGGGCTTGTTTTAAATGTTCAATTTAGTTTTGTTATTTACATTTACATTAAATTAAAATTTTGTTATTTAGCAAATGCTTTTATCCAAGGCGACTAACAAATGAGGACAATAGAAGCAATCAAAACCAACAAAAGAGCAATAATATGCAAGTGCTATATTAGTATATTATTATAGTGTTATATTTCAATTTCACAAAGAAACGTACAGTATTTTGTCCAAACAATAATAAAAGGACACATTAAATTTATAATTTGTCTTAAATCTCATTTTGTAAAAAAAAAAAAAAAGTGAATCGAATCGAATCGTGAGTTGAGTGAATCGTTACATCCCTAGTTTTGCTGCTTAATATTTTTGTGGAAACCATGATACACTTCCATTGAAAGGTTTGGAGAAAGCAATATAATATGTATGGAAATTAATACTTACATTCAACAAGGGATTAATGTATCACAGTTTCCACAAAAATATGAAGCAGCAAAAACTATATTCATCATTGATAATAGTAAGAACCATTATTAACTATTATTAATAATTGAGCACCGAAATCATATTAGAATAATTTCTGAAAGATCATGTGACGGCTGGATTAATGATGCTGAAAATTCAGCTTTGATCATAGAAATAAATTTCATTTTAAAATATATTCAAATGGAATATATATATATATATATATATATATATATATATATATCACATTCCCTACCCCTTACATGTTTTTTTTAATGTGGCTAATTTGATTATGATTTTAAGCTACTAATAAGTGTATAGTACTCTAAGCATCTTTTAGTACATTGTCCGTCCTTGATATTAGTTACGATGGTTTGTTTTTACAAAGCAATTTTTGTAATCCTGCCTAACCTGTTCACACACATCTGTTTTATCCCCTCTCTCTGAAAGGTGTGTGGGCTAGTCTGCGCTCTAGCAGCAGATTCATCCAGCAATCCGCTGCTGCCGACATGGGCACGCGGTTGGCTGGCAAGGATCTGGCGCCCCCTACAGGCATTGAGAACCTCCAGGCCAAACTCCTCAAGCATCAAGCCGCGCTCTACATCTTTGGCGAAAAGTCTCATCTCAGGGTAAAGATGTTACACTTACTATGAGTTCTTCGAGAGAAGAAGCTAAGGATCTGATGCTGACCTTGTGTGATGAACCTTTTATGGGGAAGAAGTGTTCATTTCTAAATTTATTTTTTTCATTTTTGTGTTGAAGTGTACCAGGTCATATCACCCTGAAATACTTGGACAGCGTTCTCCCCAGCGCATAATAAATTCATGACTAGATAAGGACCTCTTAATAGCCATTTATAAAAGCTCTGATTTATTGACACAATTTGTCTGTTTTTGCTGAAATTATATTACATTTGGATGCCTGAAGGAACTTTGTGTTACTTTTTACCTTTTAGATAGTTTCTTTAACATTCAATGTAAAAAAAATTTATAGTTGGAATAAATCAGCCCTGTGGTTGACAGTTAAGTAAACTCTAAGTTATTTGGCTGGTCCTACTCAGTACATTAACTGTCTGTTTTGAATTTTTGTTGTTGCCTGTGAAGTGGAAATTTAATTTCATCCACATTAGTAAAATAGTTAGTCTGCTCAAAATTATAGTCTTGGATACAATCTGATAAAACCTTATTGAAATACAAATGTGTGACTCTGGTCTGGAAGCAAGCAAAACTTCTACACAACGTTCTACCCAGAGGCATAATCCAAATGTGTGTTTCTATGTTCTGTTATTTCCAGAAATGAAACAAAACAAAATTAAAAGTTTGTACCAAATGCTTTTCCATGACAGGGCTTAAGACTGGACTCAGCACTGAACTGTGAACTGGTGCCGGTAGAGTTTGCAGACACAAAACAGGTGAAGGGCTCCTTGAAGAAGCTTCTAAGAGCGTGTGCACCCAGTTCCATGTCCTCAGACACAGAGGACTCGTTCCTTAAGGCTCTGGAGGAGAGCGAATGGATGCTACAGGTTAGCATGACCTCTGAACACACATTCCCTTAGTATTAAAACTACCCCTGCACCTTCCTCTTATTGTGACTCACAGTGGCCTATATCTTAAGAAAACCAGAAACAGGTTGGCCTGTGTGACTCTGACCCTGTTGAAAAGTCTTTCCTTAAAACTAGTCAACCATGGGAAACTATACAACACAAAGATGGGAAAATTGCATGACACAATTCAAGCAAAACAAAGTTGCTTACCACTCTAAAACCCATGCACTCACAAAACCCTTTGGCCTTATGGTCCACTGTGTCTCAGACACTAAAACAATATTATCTGTAAGGATCTCTGCCAAGACACTCTGAGAGCTCTTAGTCAGCAATGTGCACAGCAGTGTTACAATAAATGCACAGGAATTGCTAAACTTCGAATGTGTTGTGTTGTTTTGTACTTTGTATCTGTGTGTTACAAAGCTACACAAGCTGCTGCAGCTGGCTCTGGTTGTGGTGGAGTTGCTGGACTGTGGATCATCTGTACTAGTTAGTCTTGAGGATGGCTGGGACATTACCACTCAGGTGAGCATCGTCTCACACACGTGTGCTATAGCATGTGACAGTTTAACAGTCCTATTCCTTCTGCTTGTTTTAGAGCCTTGTCTTTGCCTATTATCGGATTTAAATATTATTCACCTTGTTAAGGCAATACATGGAGTTGCCAACACAATTTTGAAACAGGATTCCCAATGTAACGATAATTTTGACCCATACAATGTATTTTTGGCTTTTGCTACAAATATACCCCAGCCACTTAAACTGGTTTTGTGGTCCAGGGTCACATATGTAGCTTGCAGAAGACTGATGTTTGGTGGGGAGTTGTTAAAGGGATAGTTTACCAAAAAATGAAAATTCTGTCATTAATTACTCACCCTCATGTCGTTCCAAACCCGTAAGACCTTCGTTCATCTTCAGATCACAAATTAAGATATTTTTTATGAAATCTGAGAGCTTTCTGACCCTGCAGACAGCCAGGGTACCACGATCAAGGACCAGAAAGGTAGTAAGGACATGTAAAAATAGTCCATGTGACATCAGTGGTTCAATCGTAATTTAATGAAGCTATGAGAAAACATTTTGTCTGCAAAAAAAACCCGACTTAATTCAACTATTTCTTCTCTTCCGTGTTGGTCTTCAATGCGCGTTCATGAGAATACCCATGACGCATGCTTGGGTGCTGCTGAAGCAGGAGCCGCTGTTCTTGCATAGAATGGCCATCTCTCTTAGTTCATCATCTCTATATTCTGGTTCAAATAAGTAGAGCTGGGCAAAAACTTGCAAGTCATCCTCTCAGTCGAAATCTTCAGACATGTTTACATAAACAAGACACAGCGCTTCTGGGTTCTGCGTCAGAACGTCGGCTCCTGCATCAGCAGCACCACACGCATGCGTCGTGTTACTCTCGTGAACGCACGTCGAAGACTGACGTGGAAGAGAAGAAATTGTCGAATAAAGTCGTTATTTTTGTTTTCTTTGCACACAAAAAGTATTCTTGTAGCTTCATAAAATTACGGTTGAACATGGACTATTTTATTGATGTCCTTGCTACTTTTCTGGGCCTTCAATGTGGTAGTTGTGTTACTGTCTATGCAGGGTCAGAAATTGCTCGGATTTCATCAAAAATATCTTAATTTGTGTTCCAAAGATGAACAAAGGTTTTACAGGTTTGGATCGACATGAGGGTGAGTTATTCATGGCAGAATTTAAATTTTTGAGTGAATTATCCCTTTAAGGATGTTCTGCCCAAACTGTCAAACAGTCCGAGAAGTAATGCCATTACAGAGTGAAAGCAAATTTTCAGATTTTGGCTAATGAGTGTGAAAAAAAAAAAAAAATTTCCTGTGGATTAATTGTTAACCACAAAATTATTATTGTAGTAAGTAGTTCTGTCAAACAATTAATCGCGATTAATCGCATCCAAAATAAAAGTTTTTGTTAACATAATATATGCGCGTGTACCGTGTATATTTATTATGTATATATAGATACACTCACATACAGCATATATTTTAGAAATGTTTACATGCATATATATTTCTATATTTATATTCTCATATTTTATATAAATATATTTAATATATAAACATAACATATTTTTCTTAAATATATACATGCATGTGTTTGTATTTATAAATACATAATAAATATACACAGCACAAACACATATTATGTAAACAAAAACTTTTATTTTGGATGCGATTAATCACGATTAATCGTTTGACAGCACTAGTAGTAAGTAAATAGGGTCAATTACTATTTTCATGCAGACCTTAAGTAATTGTGACAAACTTAATGCTTAATGTACAGAATATTGCAGTTAAGAGGTTGCCACATGGAGAAAACTCCCAGGCAGAGTTCTGATGGTAAATGTTTTTGTCAGGTAAAAGCTGTTGGGATGTGTGAGTTGTGACAGTCACTGATACACTTATTGGGTCAGCAAGGGTTAAATCCAATAGGGCCAGCATTTACTTATACTGGGTACTTCTCAAGTATCGGCCCGTGTTTGTAACTCATTACATTCCTCTCTTCCTCTCTGTTGTTTCTGTAGGTGGTTTCCCTTGTGCAGGTGCTCAGTGATCCATTCTACAGGACCTTAGAGGGCTTTCAGGTGCTTTTGGAGAAAGAGTGGCTGTCTTTTGGCCACAAATTCAGCCAACGTGGCAACCTGACCCCCAGCAGCCAGGGCAGCGGCTTCACTCCCATCTTCCTCCAGTTTCTTGACTGTGTCCATCAGGCAAGTTGACTATACAAGCAGTCGTGTAACAGACACCTTTATCCAAAGTAACCTGGGGTTACTTGCCTTGCTGAAGGAGATAATGATCTTGCTTTTTGAACCAGCAATCTTCTGATGTTTTCCATTATCTGCGGTGGTGGAATTGTAGTGGTTAAAGATCTGGGCTGGAAACCGAAAGGCTGTAGGTTCAAACCACAGATGGAATGACTCATGAACCCCATGACCATTTTGCATTTGAGCAAGACACCTTAACCCCAGGCTGCACCAAATGGGACTGTCCATGTTCATTTTGGATAAGTGTCTGCTAAATAACAAATAACCAATTCCTCCATCTCTCTTTTTCACACACTGCCCAGAATCACTTCATAACTCCCAATCTCTGTCTCTCACACCACCCTTCTCTTGTTCCCACCGTGCTTCGTCCATGAGCTCACAGCATTCCTGCAGCATCCAGCCAGAAGGAGGAGGACGAGAAAGACTCAGCTGTCAGAATGCATGCTCTAGCTTTTCTTTTGCAATCCCCATGGTGGGCAAGTAATTTAGACAGAGCTGCTCCTTCGGCACATCTACCTACCCCCAACCCCCTTTGAAATGATCGTACACAGATGGTGTTTAACCTGCGGCCAGCATTGTCCTGGCTGGAGTGTTTCGCCATCACCTCCCAACATCGGCAAGTTTAGCACAACCGGTGGAAAACTCAAATTTGGGGATTTCTGTTCAATCTGTGCTACATTAAGTAAAGGGCAGGAAGAGTTTTTCTCCCTCCAGAGACAACGCGCACCACTCCCATGCGTTTACAGACATGTATTGTTTTTAGGCATATGTGATGAAATCAAGGCGTAGAGCATTTGAATGACCCAGCGGAGGTCCGGCAATGTCACAGACCACAGAAATATAGTGAAAGCATCTGAAAATAGAAGTGTCTCATCTTAGAGGCAGCTGTTGTTTTTGCCAGGAAGTCCAGGTGGCCTCGAGTGTGAGAACTTTGCAAGCTCTTCTGTCTACATCCTGTTGGCTGTACATTACCACATTATGTCCCTCCTGCTGCTGTTATTTTTGTATTTTTAAATTCCCTTCAACTAATAATTTCCTGGGCGTTTACTAATCATTATTATATTTGTTGAATCGCTGTAGCGGTGAAATAAGGCCAAAAAGCTTCTCTAGTGTGACGCATTGACTTTCTTATTCCAGGTTCATTACCAGTACCCCCTTGAGTTTGAGTTTAATCAATACTATCTGAAGTTTCTGGCATACCACTACGTCTCCAATCGCTTCAAAAACTTCCTTCTGGATTCGGACTATGAGCGCCTGGAGCATGGTGTGTATGCACAACTCCTCATGTCATTCTTTAAGAAGAAACACACATTCCACCACAAAACAGTATTTGTCTTTTTGTATTGCCATAATTACATTATTGTGCAAATGTTTTTCAGCTGTGTTCTTCAAATAAACAAGGCTTTTAATGCCTGTATAGTATTACAACAGACATGTGCAGTCTTGCTCAGAAAAGTTTTACCTACCTGTAGCAGCCCTGATGACCTTTGGAAGCACTTCTTTTAAGTGCTGCTAGTCTTATCAGACTTGGCTTCTGATATTTTGTTTCACACCTTATCACATTACTCTGAGTAATGTGTAATTTCACAAGTTCTTCTTTGTGTCTCCTCACTAAAGGCACATTGTTTGAGGACAAAGGAGAAAAGCAGGCCAAGAGAGGAATCTGTGTCTGGGAGTGTATCAACCGAATGCACCGCAAGAGTCCTCTCTTCTTCAACTACCTGTATAGTCCCTCAGAGACGGAGGTAAATAGTCTATCTGGGTGTGTGCAGAGGTACCAGACAGCTCTAATGGCCTTTACCCTAGAGCACTCTGCTTAAAGGTTGTGTTGACTACCAGTCCCAAACATGCTGACGTCTTTTGCCAGATCGCATTCACAGTGAAGGATAGTTCCCCACAATTGCAAAACAGCCTCTTTGACCTTATAAAGCAGTCTTGTTACAAGTGAATCAGGTGGTGACAGTCTATAAAAAAAACAAAGCTTGAATGGGAAAGTGCCCTATCCTCAAATCCAGGCTTGAGTGAAAGTTGTTTCAAAATGAGTGAATCAGTTCAGCGAGTCACCCATAGCCCAACAAAAACATGTTTTATGAAGTTTAGTGAGAGCAAAGGGCCCTGTGGACTGTTTCTTCTTTCTTTCCCATTCCTTTCTTACTACCAAACACTGTAAAAGGTCACACGTTCTAATCTTGAGACTGTGAGATTTTAAGGTTAGGAAAGAACAAGCATCATGCTTCTTCAAAGTTAAAAGTTCTGTAAGTGTGTTAGAGCTTAAATAATCCAATCAACAGAAAAAAATGAAGCATGTAAATGCTTAATTCTATATGTTTTATGTTTTGCATGTTTTCAGTCTCATAAACGTGCGTATGTATATTTACATTTTCCGGACTGTTCAGTAAAGGAGACTGAATATTTTGCTCTTCTGATGATATGTCAGCTTTTTTTTTAGCGCCGACGACATTATCACAGTGGCTTTCTCTGGTTCTGTATATGCTGAAGTTCCCTTCAGAATGCTTGTAATGAACATGTAAATGACTATGTGAATCAGATTGTAACATTCATATAAACTGAACTTTCATAATTTGAAATCGGATGGATTCGTTCCGATTGACAAAAATGAGTGCATGTAAACATGCGTAATGGTAGAACAATACCTTCATAGGGTAAGATTTTGGAAAGAGGGAGGGCGACTAATTCAGTGGCTAATTCTGGCAGAAATTCTACAGTGACTAATATTGCTTACAGCGCCTTTATGTAAAGTCAGAACTGAAAAAGCCAACAAATAATGATTCCTTTGTTTTCCCTTTAGGCGGTGTTGAAACCGCTGATTTCGATCCCCAATCTGGCGACATGGGAGTTCTACACTGGAGAGGCGCTGTCCACAGGCCCCTCTTATGACTGGTGTATGCTCGCGATGCGCTCACAGAGCACAGAAGAGTCAGACACCATTGCCACCACCAAGAGGAGGATCGTCTGGCCATGTTACAGCAGTGTCAGCCGTGCCCAGCCTGATGCCATCACCAAACTCTTGGCTGTGAGTCCATATGTCTTTGTCCTTTAATAGTTTCTCACCAAGTCCTTATCCTCCCGCAATCAAAGTGAAAATGTTACATGATGCAGTAAAATTGCAGCCGATCAAAGGAGCGAAGGGATGCGTCTATCAGAAGAGTGAGTAGTAGTTTTCTCTGCTTGCACCACGCAGCTGAAAAAATTCTAAACATACCTTGTATTTTTCACACCATGCTTTTTCATGATTTTACTTGTGGATTTGTCCATTCAGTGTTTCTGAACTTCTCAAAGCACAATCTGTATCTACTCATCCATTGTTGATGTTATCTGTGAATAGCAGGAATTATACTAGCTACTATAACGCAAGCAACCATCACAAACATAGAGCTGCTTGCTTGGTAGGACAAAAATATCAAAGCAGAACCCAAAGATTTCCTGGTTGATCTAAGGCACCAGTAAAGGGAAGCCTTTAAAATGCATTTGTGTTGTTGCAGGACATTGAGAGGCTGGAGGGAGAACTGGGACAGCAGTCTGAGCCCTGGCACACCACGCTGGAGAAGGTGCGAGACAGCATCCAAGAAGACCTCAAACAGGAGGGCAATGTGAGTGCTGCTTCTCTGTCCAGCTATTTTAGTTCCACTTTGCTTCACAAATGTAGCCTCAACTGGCATTTCTTACTTACCTGTTTTGTTTTCCAAATTGTATATTAAATGTGCACACTGTGTACACATTTTTAGGCATGTTTAACATCACACATGTATGCAACATGTATCTATTTCAAGCACATATTATCATTTTAGCATTGATACTGACCCTTAAATCCAGACAATTTGGGGTTTGGATTCTTCTGTGTAAATTGATATTTGAATATCGACCTAAAATTACATTTTCAGAACAAATCTGTAATGATTCTAAGGGACCAACTTTCAGAAGTCGCTTATTGATGGGGGTTCTTAATAGAAACCCCAATATCACATCACCATCAAGAGCCCCAGCTTTAATCCGTAGAAACAAATCTGCTTATGTACGGCTTGGGGATGCAGTGGTAAAAAGGCCTTAGAAAGCACCAAAGAAGCATCCTTGTTTGTGGACTATATGTGAGTAAGTCAAGTCAAGTCAAGTCACCTTTATTTATATAGCGCTTTTAACAATACAGATTGTGTCAAAGCAACTGAACAGCATTAATTAGGAAAATAGTGTGTCAATAATGCAAAATGACAATAGTAAACACACATTTTTTCAGTTAAAGACAGTTCATCATTGAATTCAGTGATGTCATCATCCAGCTCAGTTCAGTTTAAATAGTATCTTTGCAATCATGTCAACGATAACGCTGGAAATTAAGTGTCCCCAACTAAGCAAGCCAGAGGCGACAATAACAGCAAGTATTATATGATGCAATCAAACTTATAGCAATAGCAAGTAGCAAAGTGTCTTCTCCGGATATACTGACCTCATCTCTTGCTCTTTTAATCTCATAGCTGCGGAAACCGTCAGTGTCCATCTCTGGTTTGGTCCCCACCTCCAACCTGCAGGCCTATCAGCGACACTCCATGTTGCACCTACCTGACAGCGACCTCGGAGAAGACAGCAGCCGCACTGCAGTCAACGGGGTTAATCGCAGGGCAGCCACGCTCTACAATCAGTTTACCCCAAAGAATGAAGACAATAGGTAACAATGACAGACAGCACTTTTGATACCACTTAATCGAGCTTTATAGAGAAAGCCAACAAGCCATCATTTCTTTGTTTATACAGGTCATTTGAGGGAATCCTGTACAAGCGAGGGGCATTACTTAAAGCTTGGAAAGCTAGGTGGTTTGTTCTTGACGTAACAAAACATCAGGTAAGTCGTTTATTACATTTTTGTATTTTGGTCTTTACCTTAATTTATTCATTTATTTGACACACCCTATAGCTGAGGTATTATGAGACGGATGAGGATACAAGCTGTCGTGGCTATATTGACCTGGCTGAAGTGGAATCTGTCCTGATTGCCACACCAACTATAGGAGCCCCCAAACACATCAGTGAAAAGGCTTTCTTTGATGTAAGTATTCCACCAGTTAATGAAGCAATGCAGTGCCTGAGGCGGTGCTTTACCCAAGACATTTAGATATACCTAATCTTGCGTTGCCAGACCTTCAGATTGACGGCAGAAGGTTTTGACTTCATCGCAGCTTTGGCTGGCCAAGAACCACCCGAGGCCATCTGACAGACATATAATGCAACCAATCATAGTTCGCTTTGTTCAGCATCACATTTGGGGCGTAAAAATGTTAAGTCGATGTCCCTACAATAATACAGCACCGTGCAACCAATAAATCATTCATTCAAGAGCGTTGTGCAGAGTCTATGCTGTGACCTTCACGTACTTCTGAAAATTCAGCATTTAGTTGATCCTGATATGTGATCATTGTCACTGGTGTAAACAAAATGGTTTTCTTCCTCCATGAGGGAGTTTGACATCAGAACAGCTGTGTTTCCAGGCGAATCATTAAAGGATGTGACACATGAAAGAATGCATTCCCCGAAAATCCTGTAGAATTCAAACAATCAGATGATAATGACTTCAAAACTCCTAAATACTGTGCCTTGTGCATCTGACGTTCAGCCAGCGGTTCGTGGGCGTGACGTCTGAGGCTGAGACTGTATAGATATAACAAGACGGTACACTCATATTACTCTAAATGGGAGAAAGTGCAATGCAAAATATGGCAGAATAACTCCCACCTAAAGAAAAGAGCCAGTCGGTGAAGTCGTTTTGTCACTGCTGCTGCTCCGGTTGTGATGGAAATGCGGTTTCCAGACACTTGTTTAGGACTGCACGTGTGCATTGACTGGTCCAGCCTGAATTATAAGCTTTTGTTAATGTGAGCACAAGAGACAACATTTATGGGACAGTCCAAGTCAGATTTTGTTGCTGGTTTGAAATGTGTTGTTTAAATGTGAGCATGGCAAGCTATTTTTGAGATTTAAGGATTTTCCCATTCAAGTAGATAGGATATGGCCTTGGATACCTGAAATAGCTGCCTGGAGGCATTGCAAACATGGCCACAGAGTGAACAGACTTCCCTTGAAATGGAATTTGCTGTACTCCCTCAGCCGTGACTATACTAACAATAGAAGCACATGGCTGTTGTACCTGTAATATTATGATAAAAAACTATCCGTAATATTTTTAAGTAAATAAAATATTAAAGTAAATTGTGTTCCTGTGGTTCAGTGGTAGAGAATGGCATTAGCAGCGCAAAAGGTCGTGGGTTCGATTCCCAGGGAACACACATACTGGTAAAAAATGTATAACCTGAATGCACTGTAAGTCGCTTTGGATAAAAGCGTCTGCTAAATGCATAAATTATTATTAAAAATGATTTAATTATTATTAATTATAATTATTAAATATAGTAGGTGCCATCCTTATGCTTGAGGAGCTGGTACTTGCCGTGTAAAATAAGGTTAATAGTTGGGTGCAGCCACAGTGACATGGTGAACGTGCTGTTACTATGACCAATCAGCATCCATCAGCATGAATAGAAATTTAAAAAGAACAGCATTTTTGTGAAATTGTAACATTATAAGTTTTTGCTGTCACTTTTGATGAAATAAATGCATCCTTGCTTAATAGAAGTACATTAAAATCTCTTCTCTCTTTTTCTTTGTCCTTGCAGCTGAAGACCACTAAACGAGTGTACAACTTCTGTGCAGCAGATGCTCAGCGTGCCCAGCTATGGATTGATAAGATCCAGAGCTGCATCTCAGATGCATGAAGCCTTTTTCTTCAGCACCACCTCTCACTGCAGGGAGACTCACTGTGCAATTAGTAGGACCATAGTAAAGCCTTCAGTGCCTGTTGAAAATCCTGTACCTGAGCAGTGACGTACAATAACACTGCCCCGTTCACTCGTCTGTGGAGCTGCATTTCCTGCGTCCCACTACCTGCGCTCAAAAACTTGATCCTGAGCTTCTGTTTCAGGTGATTGGTGAAATGATGCAATGCACTACTCTGATATTTGCTGAACACACTGCTACATGCAACTAAGACAAAGCAATAGCACTAATCTTAAACTCGGGGTCAAAATAGTAGTGACAAGAGGTGTGTTCTGCAAAACAAAAATACTGTTGCTGCTGTTAAAATGCAAAACAAGCACCAAAATCTGACAAATGTTTAGAAAGATGCACAATGTGTAAAAGGCAAATAATTTGCACTTATTGATATGCACTCCGTACAAAACAGATTTTTAATGACTAGAACAACTAGGCTAAAGGCATTATGTTTTAACAACACATAAAATCTTGGAGCAGACAACTTTATGCTCTAGTGTGCAAAGTGTGTTTTATATATATTTGCAAAAACTTTTTTTTCAGTATGAATGTTATACTCATGCGTAACAGAGTTGTTGTTCTGTAAATTATTTTTTAAGCATTAAAAGTGTCACCTGTGTGTTTTTGTTGAATGGAGAGTCTTATGTACATATATTACAATTTCAGCTTTTTATATTCTGCTGAATATGCTGTTAAATATGTTTTTCTAACCTTTTAGTCTAACTTGAAATAAACACTCATATTTATACTTAATTAAAGACAATTTACGGACCAAGCAAAGCACTTCCTGCCTGAGATGGTTATCAGTAAGCCGTTTTGTTTGAAATGAAGGGAAGAACACTATATTTCTCCATTCTCTGTGAGGTTATATGTGATTTTGATGGCTTTTTGAGGCACTAAGGTTTTATCCATTTGTTTTGGTAGCATATCTGCAAAGTTTTAAGAAACACGAAAAAATATGAGGCAAGATGTCTGTTACTGAACCTAAAGTGATGTTACTGTATGTACAATACTTTGTGGTGCCACTAATGTTTCTGGTTTGTTTACTGTTTTTGGTTATATTTTGTTTTGGGTTTTGCTGTTGTTTGAAATAAATCTAGAGAAGATTAATTACTTTTTGTGACTGCATGGCTATATATCCTAAATTCTGCATGAACAATAAGACCTATAAAGTATTTTATTTAAGTATGTAAGAATGCAAAAGCTAAATTTCATATGCTGATGCATCCCTAAAGTGTAAAAATCCTCAAAACAACATTTTTACTGGACATGAGGCAAAAATGCAGACATTTCAGCAATATTGGTTTTTAAAGGAGTCATATGATATTGCTAAAAATAACATTATTGGGTGTAATGAAATGTGTTTTTTAAGGTTAAAAAAACAAACGAAACACACAGTATCACACACGGCGGGCTAGAGCGAGCGGAGGCCGGCGGGCTTGAGAACGGCGCGGCCGGTGGATTCGACGAAGGAGTGGCCGGCGGGCTTGCGGCAACCACATGTGACGACCCCGGGCTGGACTCCGCTTCGTCCACGGTGAAAGATGATCCGGCGATCCACAGCGCGAAGTTGATGTATTTCCTCAGCGACCAGCACAGATCAGCTCCAGGCATGACGAAGCGGATATCGTCCTCTTTTGGAAGGCCAAACAAAGAAGTTTCGCTTTCACAACGAAGCACACAGCGCCTTCACGACATGGCTGCAGTGTCAACAATACTACAGCGAGAATAAAAGTTATGCCTTCTTTCTTTGCGTGAACATTTTGGCGACGTTATGCAAATCTTCCCACATTGTGATGTTGTTACGTATCTGGTCCATGAATTTCCGTCTACTAGCCATCAGAGGTCACCCTTTCCATTTTCATTGACTCTCGATGGGATATGTAGTCCGGGGATATATGCAACAGTGTGTAGTGCGAGAGTCAATGAAAATGGAAAGGGTGACCTCTGATGGCTAGCAGACGGAAGTTCATGGACCGGATATGTAACAGAGCATTCATCTTTAAGTGAGTGATATGAAACAGCTGTGTGCAATCAGTGCTGTGTGCAATCAGTGCAATGAATGATGGGATATGTAGTCCGGGGTGATATGCAACAGTGTGTAGTGCGAGAGTCAATGAAAATGGAAAGGGTGACCTCTGATGGCTAGCAGATGGAAGTTCATGGACTGGTTAGTAACAGATGTAGACATGTGGGAGCGTGTTAGAACGAGCCGTTTTAGGTAGGCGTGGTTGACTCTTAACTTTTATAAAGAATATCTCTTTGGATTTGAGACTTTAGTCTTTGCAACTTTACAGATATTCTTTATGCACCAAGAGCTTGTGACACTCCAAGAGAGAGGAAAAATTTAAATCACATCATATGACCCCTTTAAATTGTGTCAGAAGAAAACTCTATAGTTTATAACATTTAGATTTTGATAGAACATGCATTTACAACAATCTGGGTTGGATAATTGGCATAGAAAGTTGGCTTTGCAGACTGTCACACAGAAAACAATACAAACTAGTCGCCCACTTTGGACAATGCATGTGGCATGAGCAATGTGACATTAAGACAGAATATTAAAATAAACGTTTTCTATTGCATTCTAGTTTTGCATTCTATTCCGTTCTATTGCATTCTAGCATTCTATTCCATAATGTTGAGTGTAATATAATCTATTCACACAGACTAACGGCATAAATGCATCAATAGTCCAGATGGGCAAGCGTCTGTTCCATTTACTAGCCCAATCTTTAAATTGAGCTCTGCCATTTATTCTTTGGACTGCCATAAGGGGTTCCGTAATGGCCATTAAAGTAAACCTTTTTCTTTCAGGTCAACAGCTGCCATGGCAGAGCAGCAGTTCAGTAAAAACAGCACTCACTCCTCAACTGTCAGTATGCTTTTAGTTAACTACCTTAATAACAACACCTTAGGTTAAACAGCACTGATGTGGAAGTAACTCTATCAGCCCCTTGAGTACTGTGGATTGTCACAGCCACAGTAATGCAAGCACACACAAGTGCCATGAGACCGGACAGCATGCTTGCAAATGTGCTGACCAAACTGTGGGTTTTATCTGGCTTGCCCTGACATACCAAAATGTAATTTTGGTTTACTTTGTCAAAATCATTTTACAGCCTGGACCATATATAGACTTGAAACTAGAGGCCATAAATTTAGCTCCTCTGCAGATATGTAAGAACATTGTTGCTCTCATTGGCAATTGTCATCAAGCACCATGAAATGCTGTATAATCCTCATGCAAGTTGCATAAACATGTCTTAATCCATGAATTCAACCTAAAGCTTCTGATGAATGATATGCACTACAGTCTTTAAAAGCTATTTAAGCCAGTCAGGGTGTAACATTCAAGTCGGCATGAAATGAACATTCATCCATGCGTATGTTTCTTTCTGTATAAAATTAAGTTTCGTTATCATATAACAAATATATAAAACATTTGCTTGATTTGTTTTGGATGTGTAGAAGACTACATAAGAATAGCTTGCATCTGCCCTACATAATTGTAATTATTATTATTATTATTAATTGTTATTTTTACACTAAAAATACAGTATTTTAACAAATTCTTTATCATCAGAAAACATCAACGGTTTAAAAAAACTTCTTGCCCTTATTAAAAAAGATCAAATTCTGTGTACATCATTCATACGTTCTTATATAAATTGTTGCGCTGAATTGAATGAGACAAATTACATAAGAATAATTTTAAGAACAATTTGCACAGAAATTCATTCTGCTCATGTTTCATGAATGAAGCCAATAGGAAATTCTATTCATGAGAGGACATCCCAGAAGAGACCAGCATTTCCAAAAAACATAACTTTTAATCATTAATAAACCACTGCTAATCGATCTTTGCAAAACAAATTCAACACATCCTAAAAATATTTAAAGGTTAACATTGAAATATGGAACCTCGAAAATCAATTTTGTGCCACAAGCAGATGTTACAGTAAAGGAATGCTAAGTGTCAATAATTGCTTCTCTCTTCAGACCTCAATAGACAAATATGTCACTGTAGAGGCCAGGACAGTTCAAGTTCGTCATCATTTGGCTTTGCCTTCAGCATGTCAACTTGTATAATTTGATACACTGTGTGATTCAGCCAATTCATATGTAAGACATGCCTTCCATTGAGGAAAAAACAGGGAAACAAGAAGTCTCGCCTTTCTTCCGGGGTTCTGAACAGGATCTCACTTAATAAACAGTAAGATGAAACGGCTACAAATCCTTGTTGGATACACCTAACGGGTCTCACCTAACGATCACAGCCAAGCGGTCTCATTTGCAGTAATGTATAAGTAAAAGAGGCCACAGGCGCCTTTGAGGCGAGACACTGCAGCGCCTCTCCGCTCCTAGAAAAAAAAAGCTGCTGGGACTGAGGTTTGCAAGAGCATTGGGGACGTGCATGATGTGGGCTAGTTGCTCCCTGCTGACTTGTATTGAGAGCAGGTGTTGGCCTGGCAAAACATCTGGACTGGGGCTCTCACAGTTTTCTCCAAATATAGATGCCTCCTGGAGTGGAGGATTAGAGAGGAAAGCAGCGGAAGAGGGAATCCCTCCAGAATGCTTGGAATGGGACAAATGGGATGCTCTGGAGGATCTGCAGTTAACTGGCCGTCACAGGAGACTTATGAATCTGTTGGATGTTTCAGTGTCTGAAACAGTGTCTGATTGTCTTCATAAATGGTTTAAATGTGACCTCTTTCCATGCAGACTGTTAAGAATTGTGAGCTCATATAAATATTAAACATTCTTTTCCATTAAACAGATCAACATTTTATTTAAAGGATTACACATTAAACTGTTTACTCTTTCAGAGTTTTATGTAGTTTTATCACAAGCGGTCGTTGTTTATTCCAAGCACTAATACTGGCTGGTCATAGTTTAACTTGAATTTCAGAGCAAATCCGACTGTCTGACATACTTCAGAATCTTGTTGGCAGCCGCCACACATGGCAGATGTTCTTGCCTAAACACTAAAGTGTTTGACTGCTCACAAATCAGCAATGCGAACAATGCAAGTGTGACAAAAGCATGCAGAATGGGGATTACATGTAGGCCGAATGCAGGTGGCACTGGCGTGCAGAACCCACCTGTCCCAAAGATAGGTCACGTCATTCCACTTCCTGTTACCAGAAAAAGAATCAACATCACATTATACGCTCAATGCCGTCATGTCAGCACCCTATCTAGCTAGCTGGTAAATATCTGTGGTTTGGTAAGGTTGGCTGCAGCGATGACGTATTTTTGTAGGCCAACCCTGAAGTTAGCCTCACCTTGGTTCCCTCAACAAAAACCCAGAAGAATATTTCTATGGAGTTATTGCAGAAAATAAGCTCTGTGACCAGCAAAAGTAATTTTTACACATGGTTCATCATGATAATCTTCACAAATCAACACAACTTTTATGAATTTTGAAGCCTAAATACAGCTGCCAGAAGTAAAAATCGAACTGCACCACCTTCAACATCACAACCATTAAGCTTCAGACAACTCTTTCAGTCTTTTCCCCCACAATTTGAGCCAGATTAGTTTGCAAGAGCACAATTATAAACATTATGAGGTGATGACAGCAGACTAGAGTAAATTACTTTACCTGGTCAGCATGATGACATTTATTGTCCCGGACAACCTATTCTAGCAGCTACTGTTTTCAAGCTAACTAAAAGCTTTAAAGGTGCCATAGAATGTAAAACTGTGTTTACTTTGGCATAGTTGAATAATAACAGTTCTGTACATGGAAATGACATACAGTGAGCCTCAAACACCATTGTTTCCTCCTCCTTATGTAAATCTCGTGCATGTAAAAGACCACTGAAAAATAGGCGAATCAGAACATAACACCGACTGTGACGTTACAGTCGAGATATATCCAGCTGCAGACCCACAGCACCAGCAGGTTCAGAACCGGAAGTGAGGGGCGGAGTTATTGACAACGAGAGAGCATGGTGAGTACACTCTAAAAAATGCTGGGTTAAATACAACCCAGTGCTGGGTAAAATAGGGACAAGCCCAGCAATTGGGTTGTTTTGACCCAGCGGTTGGGT